TTCCAACCCTTAATCTATGAATCTATGAATCTATGAAACTGAAGATAGTTAGCTAGCCCTTACACAGGCAAAGCAAAAGAAGAATTTATCTTGATTTAGGTAGATAGAAAATCCCATTTAATATACCAGGAAATATAGTAGATAGAAAATGTAGCAAGACAACATGAAAAGTGAACACCTGATATATTGAACAATTTCTGCTAGCTAAATTTTAATAGGGAGGGTTTCTGAACAAGGACATGGAGTTCTGTGCCACATATTAGAGGCATCTACTGGCATGTGCACAAGAGGGTAGATTCCTGGGAAATGGCTCTAGTGACTGATGTACTCACATGTTGCTTCCCTCTCCCACCACCATGGCACAACTGGACTCAATGACTCAACACATAAATATGCCTTTTTCTAACAGGCAGGCTTATCTCTGCTATGCCTTCTCTGTAGTCTCCTCGTAGTTGTTAAACTGATGGATTCATTTTACTACTACCCAAGCATCTGTCTTCCTCCTTGTTTTAGCTCCTATAAATGTTAAAGACACTACAGTATTTAGGTCTCTGCACCACATCTCCAATAATATAAACCTTCCATATTTCTATAACTGTCAGTTTCTCTTCTCAGTTATATATCTCTTCATGGCAGTCAAGCTTCACAATGTCTCTGACTCAGCTGGATACCAGATGCATGCTGTAGTGTGCTGCCATCTCTTTACCAATGTTCATGTACCCTTTATTCAATGGCTTACCTTGCTGTTTCTGCATGGTAGTGAAATCTTCAAAGGTGAGGGTGCGCACAGGGGGCCTCCAGAATGCATATGTTTCCATAATGGCCTCCAGGCCAGTTCTGTGGAATTAAAAATAAAATAAAAGATAAAGCTCTCTCTCCAGTCTCTCATTGCAAAGTTCTTAGTGTAGATTACAAGAAAAGAGCAGGAGGAGACCAAGGTGTTCTTCATGGGACAGTTACTTTGGGCCGCCTCCTACAAAAAATTCTCCTTTATGTGATGGAATCTTTTCAGCTTATCCCATTATTACTTCACATTTTTGTCTGGTTTCCCATGACATGCTGTGTCCCCTGTATTGTCATTTGCTACAGGCAGTCATCAAGTTGGGTGAAACTGCAGCCACTCTAGGGGACAGGACTAGAATCTCAAATGACTGGGATAAACTGGAAAATAGATAAACTGGAAATGGATTTCTCTCTGTTGCTTCAGGGCTAGTAGCAATGGCTTCTAGCTGCAGCAAAAGAAATTTAGGTTGGAGATTAGGAGGAACTTTCTGAATATAAGGATGGTTTAGCATTGGAATAGGCTACCTAGAGAAGTTGTGAAATCTCCATCCTTGGAAATTTTCATGAGCAGGTTAGACAGATTCAGATTGTTAGATTGTTAGCAGCTGGAAGGCACCTCGCAGATAATTGGGTCCAGCCCTTCCCCTGCCCCACCACTCTAGGCAGGAAGCCAACTGAGATTAGGTGACCCCAGCAAGATAATTGTCCAGTCTCCTCTTGAAAACCTCCAGGGTAGGTGACTGCACCACCTCCGGAGGGAATTTATTCCACAGTCTGGACATCCTCACTGTGAAGGACTTTTTCCTGGTATACAGCCTGAAGCAGCCTTCCAGGAGTATGTATCCATTGGTCCTGGTCTTCCCCAGCGGTGCACTAGTGAACAGTTGTTCACTGAGCTCCTGATGCACTCCTCTGATATAGCAGTAAGCCACTATCAAGTCCCCTCTCAACCTTTTCTTCCTTAGGTTAAAGAGGCCCAGGTCCCTCAGTCTTTCCTTGTATGGCTTGCCTTGCAAGACCCTGATCATACAGGTGGCTCTTTTCTGGACCCTCTCAAGCTTTTCCACATCCTTATTGAAGTGCGGCACCCAGAACTGGACACAGTACTCCAACTGTGGTCTCACCAATGCTGAGTACAATGGGAGTATCACTTCCTTATTTTTACATGAGATGCATCAGTTGATGCATGCCAGCATGATACTTGCCCTGCTGACCACCACCTCACACTGATGACTCATATTCATGCAGTGGTCAGTCATTACCCCTAGGTCCCTGCCGGCCGTGGTGCAAGTCAAGCTTTCACCACCAAGCCTGTATGTATGTTGAGGGTTGTTTGCCCCCAGATGGAGCACCTTACAGTTGGAAGTGTTAAACTTCATTTGGTTCCGATCTGCCAAACTCTCGAGCCTAACCAGGTCTGCCTGTATTTGCAACCTATCTTCTGACATGACCGCACTGCCCCATAACTTGGTGCAGTCCACAAACTTGGCCAGTGAGCTTTTCACTCCCCCATCCAAATCACTAACACCTGAGGGACACCACTGGTCACTTCACACCAGAACGACACAGATTCATTCATGAGAACTCTCTGGGTCTTACCCTGTAGCCAGTTTCCCACTCACTGAACCGTTGAGCAGTTGAGCCCACAATCTTCCAGTTTTTCCACAAAGATACCATGGGATACTAGATCAAAAGCCTTTTGGAAGTCTAGGTATATAACATCTCTCTCATCCCCTATGTCCAGGTGGCAAGAGACTTGGTTGTATAAGGAGATGAGATTGGTAAGACAAGACCCACCCATGACAAAGCCATGCCGGCTGTCATTCAGAATCTTACCTTCCCTGAACGTATTGCACAAAATTCTTTAACAAGCTTTTCCAGGATTTTTCCTGGGATAGAGGTTAGGCTGATTGGCCTATAGTGGCCTACAGATACTTGGCTGGGATGGTTTAGTCATGCATAGGGGGTCTACCAAACTCAAAGAGGAGCCAACCAATTTTCTCGGCAGATCATGGGGCTGGCCGCCCTTTTCATGAGATGAGCACGGCAGAGCCTGCCGATCCCACTGATTGGCTGAGGAGCCTTGGCAGTCCCATCCCTCTCTACAGATTGCCATATGGCCCAAAACAGTAGGTTAATTACCCTGATTAAGCCTGGGGAAGCCATGAATCTATTGGCTATTAAGTATGGATTAATGGCTTCCTCAGGCTTAATCAGGGTAATTAATCTGCAGTTTCAGACCATCCCCAAGCAGTGGGTTTGTTGGTGGGCTCACTAAAAAAAAAAGCAAACCCCTTACCGGGAAGCAGAGAAGCCCTGCAGTCTTGTAGCATGGGGGAGGGGGAGGGGCAAGGATGGAGAGGCAGGGAGAAAAGAGGGGCAGATCATGGGAGCACAGGGGTGCTCTCAGGAGGTGGTGTGGAAGCAGCCTCTGTGGCTCCTTCTGTAGGTACCCCTACCCTGCCCCCTCTAAGCCCCTTTACCCCCCCACACACACACACCCCTCTTCCACCATCCCCCTGTACTCCAAAACTGCAGGGCTTCTCTGCTTGCCACTAGGTTTAGTTTACTTTAGTTTGCAGTGAGCCTGCCAAAAGCGTGGAGACTGTGCTTTTTCACAGAGCGCACCCAAAAATCATATTTCTGTGAAAATCATGATTTCAATACGTCCCTAGTCATGGATGATCCTAAGGAAGGGGCTGGCCTAGACAACCTTCTGACATCCCTTACAGTCCTACTTTCCTATGATCCTATGTCTTACTTAAAAGTAAAAATGTACCTTCTTTCACTCATTCTCAAAGCCTCTCATCAGATGTTTTGTTAATATTGTAGCTGGCTTTTGCTTTTGAAAATATCTTTCACACAAATGTTTCTACTCACCCAGTTAGCTTTCCAAAGTCTCCCCCGAAGCTCAGATGCTTTAAATATATTAGAGTTGGCAAACTGAACTCTGTATTTTAAGAGGAGGTTTAGAGAAGAGGTTTTTGCATGGTGTTATTAGCTGCTGAGCTGTGAGAAACAGGAACAGAAGACGTCTCAATGTAGCAATCTCACACTCGCACTGAATTCACTGCAAGAAATAAAGTTTCACTAACCTCATCTGGGGCATTTTATTCCCTGTCGTTTTTCTACAGCAGAAAACCCTTCCAGAATTTGGGCTGTTGAGGATTGCATGAGCCTGCTACTCCACTGCTTCCCTCTTTGTGTGCATGGAAACAGGTGGTGCTAACACACAGGAGTGATATACAGCTCTATGAACCTCTCTCAAAGAAGGAGTGTGAAAGATCCAGGGGATGCCAGAAAACTTCAGATAACTCCAGCAGACAGGTATAGGCTTTAAATGTTGGTTCACATATACTATTGCTTTGTTGTCTCTGAGCTCCATGAACTGCCAAAGGCCTTCGTATTAACCAGATAGCTTTGTTGCAGTATGTTCAGTGTGAGTGTGAGAATGCTATGTTGAGATGTCTTCTTTTCTTGCTTCTAACAGATTAGCAGCTAATAAACACCATGAAACAACAACCTCTCCTCTAAACCTCCTCTTAAAATATAGATTGGTTTGCCAACTCTAATATATTTAAAGCATCTGAGCTTCCGGGGAGACTTCGGAAAGTTAAATGAGTGAGTGGATATGCTGCATTGCAAGATGGCTGCCAAATTTCCTCTGGGACAGCAAGCAGGAGAAGCAGAGTCCAGTGTTAACCTTTTCACAGCCACTCTCCAATTGGTCACAGTTTTCAGCTAAACAGCCAGAAGCTGTTGCCAATTTGAGAGCAGCTGTGAAAGAGTTAACACTAAACTCCATCTCTCCTTCTTGCTGTTTAGAGTAGTGTTTTTCAATCTTTCTTCATCTGTGGACTCCTAAAAAGATGTAAATGGAGTTGTGGACCCCTTTGAATTGTAAGTGTGGGTATTTGCATACTTCTGATTGATAATATCTTTTCATGGACCCCATAGACAGTCTTTGTATCCCCGGGGTCCACAGACCACAGGTTGAAAACTACTGGTCTAAACAGAAGCTGGCAGCTGTCTTGCAGTACAGCTTCTCTCTGATGAGCCAACTCTAGGCCGTAACTGGAAAAACCTTTTTCTTCTACATTCTGTCTTTCAAAAATCAATGTGTGTATCCCATTTGGGGGGGTATAGTATGCAAAAAAAGATGGTATATTTTTATAAGGGGAGTAAGCATTGAAAACCAGGGTGCTTGAGATGTATGCCTGCCTGGAAGATGGTTCTAGTGCTTTGCTGCATAGGGATCACTTACCAAGCTGGACTACTTGGAAAATCTACCTGCTTAATTTGGGATCTAAATGGGTTCCACTCTATTTACTTGAAAGTCCAGATGATAAAGCATTGGACAATATTCATGTAACCTCCACTTTCCTCTTTGTAGGACCCCACCCCAGATTCTGGCCTGCTAACTGCCTATCCAGCCACAAAATTTCCTGCCCCATACCATCTTTATGAAGGACAGGAAAAAAGGGATCAGAGGAGAATTCATTACCAACATTGTTTTAATAAGGTCAGCCCCTTTAAAAGGTATTCAAATTTTTCTCCTTTTCATTCTTTTTTATTTTTATTTTTAGTACTACAGAGTTGTAATAATGGGCAATAAATGAAACAGTTCCATTGTCTGAAAAATGAAAAAAGATGTCCCAGCTATCTGTGCATGTCAGTAATCTGTTCCAGATGACTGACCCTGCCATGTCTGCTGCATGCAGAACTCACACCATCATTTCATTGTTCACTTTGCAGGCCAGCCCATTGGCTCTTCATATCTTTCCTACCTCTCCATCCCTAGGCAAGAGCTCTAAAGGCTCTTCCAGCAGGACCTGTTCTTGTTCATCTCAGCAGGACAAGTTCAAAAAGGAAGATACAGTGTTGGCCCGACTCAGATTTTAACAGTCTTTGCCTCTGGACTGCTGTCCCTTTCCAATATGGGAACTGTTTCATAGAATTATAGAAAATTAGGGCTGGAAGGGACAGCAGTCATTTAGTCTGACCCCCTGCTCAAAGCAGAACCATCCCTAACTAGATCATCCCAGCCAAAGCTT